ATGACCCCTGACATCATTTATATGGACCTTGCGAGGTAGGCCCTTTTTTGTGTCATCACAACTGTTGTTAGCCTTGGTTTCATAGTTTATCAGTAAATCCCAAAACATGTACTGGGTGTTTTGATTTTGTTTGTTTTGGGTTTTTTTGTTTTGCCATTGAGTCGCATCTGACTTATGGTGACCCTGGTGGGGTTTTCAAGGCAAGAGACGTTCAGGAACGGGTTTGCCATTCCCTGCCTCCATGTTGCAACCCTGGGCTTCCTTGGTGGTCTCCCACCCGCATACTGTCCAAGGCCGACCCTGCTTAGCTTCCGAGATCTGACAAGATGGGGCTAGCCTGGGCGTGCGACGTGATTAATAGCAATGCATATTCATATTATGCGAAGGAGACGAAGGCCAAGTGGTGTACAACAGCCCGGGCGTAGGGTCCGCTATTTCTGCCACAGCTGGGATTGCAAAAGAGATGCGTCACTCAAGGAAGTGAACGAGCCGTCTCCTGCAAGGGAAATCACACTACAGAGAACGTAACTGTAGAATGAACTGTGTAGAAGACATGAGCGCATGTTATGGACGGGGGCTCGGAAGAGAGGTGCTATTTCTCTTTCTGTTTCACAGGGCCTTTCATCCATACTTCCCATCACAAAGTCCCCACACCCTTTGCATATGAACATAAAGCCACATGTTTTGAGAAGGGTCTCCCTGCTCTGACCAGGATAGCCCAGGGAAGCCCGATCTCTCCAGATCTCGAAAGCTAAGCAGGACCAATGCTGGCAAGGACCTGGAAGGGAGACCTCCAAGGAATACCAGGGCTGGGACGCAGAGGCAGGCAATAGGAAGAAGAAGAAGAAGAAGAAGAGATTGGATTTATACCCCGCCCTTTACTACCCGAAGGAGTCTCAGAGCGGCTTATAAACTCCCTTCCCCTCCCCACAACAGACACCCTGTGAGGTAGGTGGGGCTGAGAGAGCTCTGAGAGAACTGCCCTTGAGAGAACAGCTCTGAGAGAACTGTGGCTTGCCCAAGGTCATCCAGCAGCTGCAAGCGGAGGAGTGGGGGATCAAACCTGGTGCTCCCCGATTAGAGTCCGCGGATTAACCACTACACAACTTCTCTGAAATGTCCGAGCCCCTCTAGGGGTCGCCAGAAGTCAACCATGACTTCCAGGCGTACACACACACCCTAAATAAAAAGCCAGCGAGAGAGAAGGATCTTCCTGTTACTGTTGGGGGTGAGCCACGGCTGACTCTACAGTTATTTATTCATTTAAAACATTTATTAGCCATCTTCCTCCTGGAGCTCAAGGCGGCTTACAAGATAAAAACAAAAATTTTGAATTGCTGGTTTTTTTGTTCAGTTGCACAGTCGAGTCCGACTCTTCGCGACCCCATGGACCAGATCACGCCAGGCCTTCCGGTCTTCCGCCGTCCTCTGAAGTTTGCTCAACTTCATGTTCGTTGCATCTGTGAGACTGTCTAACCATCTCCTCCTTTGCCGTCCCCGTCTTCTTTGACCTTCAATCTTTCCCAGCATCAGGGTCTTCTCCAGGGAGGGCTCCCTTCTCATTGGGTGGCCAAAGTATTTGAGCTTCAGTTTCAGTATCTGGCCTTCCAGGGAACCACAGCCCTAAATAAAAACCGTCTTCAGCTGCTTCCTAAAGATCGAAGACGAGGGGGCCAGGCACATCTCCCTGGGGAGGTTGTTCCAGAATCGTGGGGCTGCTACCAAAAAGGCCGCCTCTTCTGTACCCACTAAATGAGCTTTGATGGACGGGGCAATCAGGAGGGCCTCTCCCTGCAGTCTTAATTCCCAGGCAGGAACATCTGAGGGAAGGACGGTTCTTCAGAGCTAGCAGGAATTTATAGCTCTGTCATTCCTGTGGAGGTGGCGTGGGAGGCAAGCCGTTGTTCTGACTTCTCACTGAGGTCAATGAGCCCGTTTTACATTTACGCCCCTTCCTCTGTTGAAATAAATGATTGACAGACCGCCTTTGGGCCCCTGCTGAATCCAGCTCTTCCCCAGCACGCCCCAGTTGCCATCCCGGTGAGCTGGCCTCGGGAGCTGTGTCGTGTTCTGACTTCAAGGGAACTTGTCTTGGATGCCGTCCAAGAGGGTGGAGGCATTTTCATTATAAGTGTTGCGACTCTTTTGAGACAATTTTCTGCGTGTCCCAAGAAACGCGAGGATGACCTGTGCTATAATATTGCAAAACAGACTCGGTAGCTGCTCTGAACGTCTCCTTTGGAGGAGTCAGCTAAATTGCACCCTGAAGCCGTTTCTCAGGAATTGAGTCTTTCACTTCTCAGGAATCGGAGCCTTGCTGATTTCTCTGCGGTCAAAGGAAATGGTCCGTGTAATAGTTTGGTGGCGGAAAGCGCCGTCAAGTTGCAGCCTACTTAATAGTGGCCTTTTCCGAGGCCAGGGACATTCAGAGGTGGACTTCCTTGGTGGTCTCCCAGC